CGCAAGGTGGTCTGTCTTCCACAGGAGGCCCTCTGAGCCTTTCTAGCCCAGAAGTGTTTACAGACATTTTGTTATTGTCAGCCTTCCCTGCAATGACCTTCCCATTGTCTCCCTAACTAGCAGCTCGTTCACAGAATTAACCTACTTCTGTCACTGAGGGGCCGCATTAGTTTTCAGAACAAATCAGTATCTATTTCAATAGGAAATTCATGTCAGATTATCCATCTGCTTCCTACCTCTGTTTTGTACATCTGCCCTGCGGCGGGGGGCGGAATTGTTGGCTCTACTTTTCCCCCTATAAAAAGTAGTGGTGAAGGAAGGCTTGGTGGCAGTCCAGTAGAGTGGAGCAAGCTTTTAACCACAGGTACTCTCTTGAACTACATAGACATACCATGAAATGTACAAGATCCCTGCCCCAGAACTAGAGGTTTACTAGTGATAAAAGGGCTGCCATACCTTTTCATCTAGTGCACTGGTTCTTAACCTTGGGTTGCTCAGGAGTTTTGGACTGCAACTCCCAGAAGCCTTCACCACCAGCTGTCCTGACTGGGGTTTCTGGGAGTTGCAGTTCAAAAGCATCTGAGTAACAAAGGTTAAGAACCACTGATCTAGTGCAGATTAGTAAATTCCATCTGGTGGCATTTACTAATCTGGGATCAATAAATTCCACCAAACTCAATAAATTCTACCAAAAGTACTAAGCATTCCATATAAAGGAATACACATGGGAAGCTGCTTTATGAGTATATTGGTCTACTCAGCTCAGAACTACATTTTGGGGTTTCAAATAGGAGTCTTTCTCAGCCCGTAGGAATTGAACCTGGAATTTCTCTCTTCTCTTCTGTAAGCTTACAGGTCACACTGTACTTCCTCAAACATAGGGCAACTCCTCCTTAGGACATAATCCATTGAGGGAAAGTGGTAGGGGGTTGCATAGAAGCAGACAGGACCAAAATTAAAACTATACCCCAATATATATCACCACTTAATATAATAGTAATCATTGGTCATCAATTCTGACTTACAGCAACCCTTTTCAGGGTTTTATAGGAAGCGAGTACTCAGAAGTGGTTTGCCATCCTCTTTCTTCTGTGGGCATCTTGGGACTGTGCAGCTTGGCCAAGGCCACACAGGCTGCCTCTTCTCGGATGCACAGTGGAGAACTGAACTCCCAACCTTTGGCTCTGCAGCCAGATACCCTAGCTCACAATCTAGCCTCGCCCCACCTATTTTCTCTCACATATTCTCTTGCTCTCAGCAAAGCTCAGTTTTATTGGTGATCACCTGAATAGTTTAGATGGGGAAGCCATCTTAAAGAAGCCATCTGCCTTTCACCATTTCCCCAACCCCACGTTAGGCATCTGATCATTTGGGAATAATGGTGGCAACAAGAAAAGGGGACCTGCAGAGGCCTGTTGTTGCGTTGTGTCTTGCCAATCAACTAAGCAGGGGGAGAATGCAGTATTGGAAAGTTTAACAATCTCACAAATATTCCCTCAGAACAGCCCAACTTCATAGAATGGAGAAGGGAGGAGTGCAGAGGGGCTAAGCCGCAGAGTAGGGCTACAGCCTGGCTGGAGAGGCTGTTGGGCCCCATGAAACTAACTGAACAAATATTAACTGACTCAGTGGAGTCCATTTCATGGCTTTTGAGGACAAACCCACAACGAAGGTGTTTCTTAACATGCGTATCAGAATCAGTGAGGCACTTGATGCTGCTCCATTAGCTAATGACCTGCATGTGAGGTATTCACACATGTAAAGATATAATACTGGGCTATTATGGATGCAGAACTGCAGACATGAGTTTGTACACACAGTATGTACACATGAGACAAACTGACTCAATAAAGAAAACCACTATATTTAATTTGTTAGACCTGAACAATGATAGAACCTCTGGGAGGTCACTAATTCATAAGGTCACTATAAGTCAGAATTAACTGACAGACCAGATTAACAATATCTATCTATTCTACACACAGAAAGAAAAATTTCTGTCATTTATCCTAACAATATTCTGAACAGTTGATAACTGGCAGCTGAAATATGTGAAGTGATTACAAATGAAAAGCATTTTCCTTGCAGCTGTTGTGTACCAATCCAAGAGTCCTACTGAAGACATCCAAAAGTAGTAGATACGAGCAAAACTCTCTACATGAAAATAGCTGTTTTCATGAGCACTCTGTGATGAAACGCTAAGATGTGAGGTAACATGAAATCAGCTTGTATCATTACTCCAGTGTGTTTATATGGCAAGTAGTTTCAGGGAGAAACACACTATACAGTATATTGAGAAAGGTTGTTACAAGCTTAAGGAAACATATATACAAAACTGAGCATTCATGTGAGGGATAGTACATGCAGTTATCTAGAACAGTGGTTCTCAAACTGGGGTCTCCCCAGATGTTACTGGACTGCTATTCCTAGAAGCCTTCACTACTTGCTGTGCTTGCCAGGATTTCTGGGAGTTGCAGTCCAAGAACATCTGTGGACCCCAGTCTGAGAACCACTGATCTAGAATATGTATTTGTAGCAGAACACTGCTTACCTACTATATCCTATAAACGAGTATTTCTGTGCTGGAAAATGACTGGTCAATTTATATAATTCTATATAATATGGAAAGAGTTTAATGGTGTTTGCTACTGTTTGCTCACTATGTACTACTCTCCTGATCTTGCACATTGGGATCCCTGTAAAGGTCCTTGTGAAAGCATGAACTCAAATAGAAAACGGCTGTCTTTCCAAGATAGAGGACAGAAATCCAGTAGTAGGCGGGAAGGGGAAGTCAGTGAAAGCTACTGGACACTGGAATAAAGTAAGAGAATGCCACATAGTTTTTTACATTTTAAATTAATGGCCAGACACCTAATGATTTTGTAGAAGGCATACAGCAGTGAGAAACATACAATGCATTATAGATACACCTATATATTTTAAAAATAGGATGAAAATATGCAGTGAGATTATTGGGGGAGGTGGGAGGTTTGCATTTAACCACTTCCATAGAATGACAGAAAAGTACAACACCACAGCATTAATTGGCACTGCTGTTTTAATATAGATAAATTTATTAGATAAAAAATTATTCATTTTTATTAAATTATAAAGTTTTCATATCTTTATTGAATATTATTAGAAAAAAATCAGAACATATATTATTGGCATTTTCAGAACAATGTAATTTGCATCTCTATTTGTGGGTTAGTGTAAATAAGATACATCTAAAGCAGTTGTGGTCTTCTCTCCCTGCCTTAACAGGGAATATTTTGATTTTAATAGATCTTCCCACTATGAAACAAGTGCACTGAAGTGGTTATGGAGTCGTTTTGGTAGTCCCTGCCTCTTTTTTATGTGCCTCTTTCCCACAAATCAAAGGCGAGATCAAGCCAAAATTAAGTACTTGTGATTTTGCCCCTCAAAATGAAAATGAATGACATGATCAGCATTTCAGATAAGAACTTAAAAGAATTTTTCATGACTGCTTTATGAGGATTTCCCCCCTCCACATTACTTTCAACCATGAAAGGCTTGCTGACAGCCAATATGACCACAGTCTATGTCTGTTTTCCTAAACCTGACACTTTACAGATGCTTTGAACCACAAACTTCCTCATTGCCAGCCAATGGGCATGCAGGGTGGGGATGATGGGAGTTATAGTCCAACACATCTGGAGGACACCAAGTTGGGGACTGGCAGTCTGATGTCAATAAGATCATAGCATTAATGATGAATTCTTAAGGTCTGGTCATGAGAGGATTTTTAAACCTGCAATGAATGACAGGTCATCAAAAGCAGTATTATGCACATTGATTTGGGTATTAACTGGACGGATATGTTCATAGACAGCAGACAGTATGATGCTGTGACATGTTGCATTTCTCCTTCAATCATTAAAAAGACTCACATGAGAGACATGTTCATGGTATGATATATTTTTAAAAGGTTGTTCCATGCGGCTACATGTCTGATTTACTGTAATATGAGGTATACATTCAGTGCCAAATCATGAACATTTATATTTAAGGCATGTGTGAAACAACTGCACATTCTCTGAAGGAACCTTTTCCACAGGAATTTCCATTAATTAGGCCCAAGAGACAGAAGAAAATGTGCTATTTTCTCATATCCTTAATGGGAAAATATCATTTAAAAATGTAAAAAGGCTAAGATTCAAAACATCAAGAGAAATCAATGAGAGCTTCCGGGCATACCCACAGGATTTTTTGGGTAGTTGTGGGATCTTTTTTTCATTTAAATAGCAGATTCCCATGACTTCCTCTAAATGTCTTTTGAAATTTCCATCAGTTACAAAAGTATTTTGCCCCAGGATGAGGAAAGCAACAATTTTGAGGAACACAAATCTAAATTCACTTTGGGGTACAGAGTCCATTGTGTGATTTTTTTAAAAAAACAAAATGTCGGCCCTGACTGCCTACTGTCTCTCTAAGATATCCGAGATGTACAAAATATTTTACAAAAAAACAGTTGTTAATAAGGACATCCTACATGATAAAGAATCCTGAATGGCAATAAACAGTGGCTAATGATCACAATTGCAGCCCATTCTGATAGAATATTGCACAGGATAGTCTCTGTGAATTCAGGGTAGCTTGTAGTTTAGTTTTGAGAGTGTTTTTTTAAAAAATAACATACAGAACATCTCACAATGTCTCACTGATTGCTCAGATAGGCCAGGCATAACTTTATTCCTGGCTGGTTAAAATAATCCTAAAATATATATACTGAGACATTTTCAGGAATGTCATCCATTGTACAGATTTCTTCATTGGTGATGCTCTTATTTCTTTGACACACTGGCCACTGCCTTCCTGGCAGCATCTTCAAGGTCACATGCAGACATGATTGGGAGTCCACTCTCATTCAAAATGCGCTGGGCTTCATGAACGTTTGTCCCTAAGGTGTAAAGAAGTGAGAACAATGGTTACTGTCTAATGTAAACTTTCTTGTTTTCGAAAGCCTAGGAAGGAAGACTTGAGGGTCTTGCTTCAAGACAAAGTTGATGGGTGGAGTAAGAAGCAGGCACTTTTCACCAGGCATATATCTGGTGGCATAAAAAAAAAAGGCTACGGCAACATCATATGACAAGTGACACGAAAAACGGTAGGTTACTCTACTGCATTTACTTCTCTAAATGTAATATTCTTTTTCCCCCTCCCCTTAACTAGCGCTGAAGATGAACTTTGGCAATTGGTGAGTAACTTAGATCCCTTTGCTGCAAAATAATATCAACTGTGTTAAGTCAGAAAAAGGGAGATAGCAATTGCTGGATAATGCAATGTAACATACATCCTTTCGAGTGGTTATAATAAAAGAGTTCCTGTACAACTATTATGTTATTGGACTGCCCACCCAGCCCCCATTAGATTTTGGAAGACAATTGGCCCATAAAGCCATTACGATGTTGGGCTAAAAAATATTAACAATGATGTAAAATAGAAACAAGAATGGCTATTCTTTGGTCTGTTTTCATCATATAATGCAAATTATTTTATCTATTTGTTTGGTTTCATCTACTCGTATATGCAGTTTTTTGCTGGGCGAGGGAACCCAAATTTCCTTTGTAATGATGACAACAGGTCTGTTTTCATCATATAATGCAAATTATTTATTTGGTTTCATCTACTCATATATGCAGCTTTTTGCTGGGCGAGGGGACCCAAATTTCCTTTGTAATGATGACAACAGATTCGTGAAAAAAGGTAAGGAGAAGACCAAGGTATGTCATATAGGCCAGGATCCTGTTCAGTCAAGCAGCTTGTACAAGAGACAGTATTGTGAGTGGCTCAACAGTTGGGCTTTCTCAATGGGAAGGACAGATGACGCAATGGCCATAGCTCATGCAAGTAGTGCGATTCTGTGCTGCTCCACTGGCAAGGCCATCCCCTCATTCAAGTCTCAGCAAATTTCTGGCCACTGGGTTTCAATGATAATTGTCAAGCTTCATCTTTTGGTGTATTGCTAAATCAGGAACCAGCTGATTTAGCTCACTAATAAGCTTGATATAGATGACAATGGCCCTTGCCCACATAGCCAATGATGAAGGATTACAAGACGTACAGTTCGGAAATGCTGGGAAGCTCCCAGCTACACACCACTGAACTTGATCAACCAATGATCAGACTTGTGATTAGGGTAGCTTTGTTCCTAGGACAGAGGTGAGGAACATTGAGGGGGTCCAGAGGACAATGTTGTGATCCTGGTACTTATTTCAAGGTACAAACTCCACAACATTTGCTGACATTTGATGGCAAACTGTGTCACTGAAATTCCTAATTAAAGCAAGCATTGTGCTTGTATAAAATGGAGCTTTCCCAGATTCCTGTCAAATGTTAATGGCCATTCACTACAGGCTAGTTGTTTTGCCAGCATGGATTTTCATGAATTCCTGCTGTTGGTACAATTCCCACTGGATTGTGCTGGCACAGGTTTTGGTGCTTGTTCAGGGGGCTCTGCTTCAGATGGCGAGGCTAAAGGCTGGCCACAGAACCTCTGGCATATGAAGCAGGCACTCCACACTTCAGCATTAGGTCCTCCAAACACCTGATGTATCTTCTCAACAGCTTAAAAGTTGGATTGACTCAATAAATGAAACTGGGGAAAGGAAAAGAGTAAGTTAAATGCCATGCACCGCAATGCTGTGCTTATGCTATGCATATTTACCTGGGTGCAAGTCTCACTTAACACACAGGAACTTACTTCTGAGTAAACATTTATAGGATTGAACTGCAAGAGCCCTATTAGTTGACAGCCCATTCCAAATTCAGTCAACAGGAGAACTGAAGCCTCTCTTCCCCCTCCTCAGAAGCCATAAATTAAAAGAGACATTTCAGGGAAGCCTGCGTTACACTCCGTCAAGCTGCTGCAAAAGGCACATGCATAGCTAAACGAGAAGAGATTAATTAAAAGAGATGAATGATTGTTGCTCACATCCTGTAGTTCTTTGTTCATTAATGCTGTAAAAAAAGACAGGTCCAGTTGAAATGATCTGGCAGAGCAATCACACACATTTAGTCTTTTTGCCCAGAAGCCCCCTCTGTGTGTTGATGTCATGGATGGGGCCACATCCTGACAGGGATGGCACCCTTCACTTAGTAGCAGAAACAGGTGATGGGCAAGACAAAGGCCCTGTCAGACACAGAGACAGCTCCCCCTCTCCTTCCCTTGCCAGCCAAACTCTGCAGGCTGCAGCAACCATAGGCACAGAAAAGGAAAAAGCAGTTAAACAGCCATAATTTTTAAAAAGGCAGGTATAGCTGCAGACAGCCCAGGCCTCCTCAGGGTGGAGCTCTCACTTAGACCTTGAGTTAAATATTTTACACATGTTACTGAGACTGTGCCTGGAGAGAGGACAAATTGCCTTGAAGTCCCATTCCCGGAGAGTTAAAATGTTGCATGAAATCGACTGGAAGATGTTCAGTGCCAGCCTGCATCACCCTGAACAGGGAGATTTTTCTCTCTAAGTCAGAGTGGCAGGTTAAGTTTGAAGCGATACGAGTTCCCAACAAAGCTTCAGGACTTAATGAAAAGTCTGCGTCAGTGAAATGTGGTTGAAAAGGCTGAATATCGCCCTGCAAAGCAGTGCATCTTGGTTAGTGTGCATATTTTACCCCCAGTGTTTAAAGTGCTTACACACTCCTGGAAGGTGAAATGTCTAGACTTCCAGATGATGTTGCACTGCAATGGTCACCAACCCTCTCCACTGGCTATACTGGAGAGTTCTGAAGTGTGCTGTAGTCCAACAAAATCTGGAAAGCTACGTATTTCCCACTCTTGGCATGTAGTATAACAACTCAGCAGCAGCTGATATCTCAGACTGGAAAGCTGTGTTTGTGGATGGTTCTGTATATGAGAGAGAAAGACTGACAGGTTAGTGGGGGTGATTTGCTAAGGCTACTGACTTTTGGCAGGGACAAATCTTAAACTAGAGACCTCTAGATTCATAGCTCAGTCTCTCAACTATAGAGCTATGCCAGCTCCTACTTATTATTTAGTTTCACAAAATTTGCTGCAGAGTTGTCTTTCTCCTTTGGTTCCTGCTGACACTTTGTTTCTGATTATCAACAATATATTAACTGTACAGACCAGGGATGGGCAACTAGTGGTCCCTATGGATGTTGCTGGACTCCAACTCCCATTGGCCACAGCCAACATTCACAAGTGAAGGAAACTGGGATCCAACAATACTTGGAAGACTACAGTTTCTTGCACGTGGTACAGATCACCAACAGCACTGACCAACCCTCATCTGGCTATATCATTTTATTGTGGCAATGGATCTGCAAGTGGCTTTCCTATGGCCGATTTTCGCTAGACAACGATGATTCGTCCCCATTGGAATGCATTAAACAGGTTTCAATGCATTCTAATAGGGAAATGCTTTTCGCTAGACAATGATTTCACTAAACAGCGATTTCAGTGGAATGGATTATCATCATCTAGCGAGGCACCACTGTACTTGAAATGGCTTATGATTATCAGAGATGGAGAAAGATACTTGTGAGAGGCAGATTAATGATGAGCTTATGGACTCTGAAAAATGACTGAGAACCCTCAGTCTCTTTCTCCTGTCACAACAAGAACTGCCATGTTTTATTTCATGTCACATTATTCTTCAGAATTTCAAGCCCTCTATGAGGTTGTAGTCTCTACATTACAATAGCACAAAATGTACAGAATCCATGGTTATCAATACAACAACCGCATCCTGAACATTTGCGATTAGATTGGGTGGCAAATAGATTTGTACACATCCTGAAAAAGGTAAGTTAAGTTATTATTAACTAGAGAGCTATTGAATTGTGTTAATTGTGCTAGATGGAAAGGTCTTGTGAGATCTTTTCCTCAAACTGCATTTGAGGGAGAGTATTGATTTTTAACTTTAAGATTCAATAGTTTCACACTTTTAACAGAAGGTAAAATATCTCCATTTCAATTGTAGAAAGGCTGGTTCAATACCGTTTACCAGACTTCCAACTATAAGCAACAAAAGCACAGAAATATGGTTAAATTTGTCATTTGCCACCTACCATGTCTGCTCTGCGACATAGCTTTAGACTGTTTCTTTGCTCAAAACAGAATCACCAAATTCACAGTCCTTTGGTCTTGGTGAATCTATACAACATATCCAATGGTGATCTTAAGGCAACAAATTTATTTCTGATTAAAGCTGCTTGGATGTGAGGGGAAAAGCAAAACAGAGTAGGAATGTCCACCTGAAGCCAAGTTTATGAACACACTTCCTTTTGTTGGTCTTTCTTTTTCTTGTCTTTTTTGTGTAGAATGAATCTGTTGTTTTCCTCCTACTGAGTCTGTTGGCAAATATTATTGTGCAGTAAAGCATGCCATTTTTCAGGGTGTTTTTTAAAAAAATACCATTCAGAAAGGATTTCGAAGGGGCAGAGGAACTAGAGACCAAATTGCTAATATGTGCTGGATTATGGAGAAAGCCAGAGAGTTCCAGAAAAACATCTACTTCTGCTTCATTGACTATGCGAAAGCCTTTGACTGTGTGGACCAAAGCAAACTATGGCAAGTCCTTAAAAATGGGAGTGCCTGACCACCTTGTCTATCACCTGAGAAACCTATATGTGGGACAGGAAGCTCGTTAGAACTGAATATGGAACAACTGATTGGTTCATAATTGGGAAAGGAATATGACAAGGCTGTAAATTGTCTCCCAGCTTATTTAACTTATATGCAGAATACATCATGCGGAAGGCTGGACTGGAAGAATCCCAAGCCGGAATTAAGATTGCTGGAAGAAATATCAACAACCTCAGATATGCAGATGATACCACTCTGATGGTGGAAAGTGAGGAGGAATTAAAGAACCTTGTAATGAGGGTGAGAGAGGAGAGTGCAAAAAACTATCTCAAGTTCAACATCAAAAAAAC